CAAAAGAAAAAAAAGGGAAGGCCCAGGTCAAAATATTTTGAAAAAAAAAAAGGGAAAGCCCGAAGTTGAGAATCAGTCGAAAAAGAAAAAAAGGAAAAAGGAAAGGCCTCTCCTGGGAATAGGTTGAAAAAAAAAAAAAAAAAAAAAAAAAAACCCCGACATAGAGAATAGTTGGGAATGAAAAAGGAAAGAACGAAGTAGAAAATAGGTCGAAAGAAAAAAAAACAAAGGAAAGACTGAAGTAGAGAATAGGCCGAAAGAATAAAAAAGGAAAGAACGAAGTAGAAAATATGTCGAAAGGAAAAAAAAAAAAAAGCAAAGGAAAGACCGATGTAAAGAATAGGTTGAAAGAAAAAAAGGGACAAACGACGTAGAGAATAGGTCGAAAGAAAAAAAAATAAAAGGAAAGAACGAATTAGAGAATAGGTTGAGAGAAAAAAAAAAAGAAAAAAAAAAGAAAAAAAAAAGAAGGAAGTAGAGAGTAGGTTGGACGAGAAACCAAAAAAAAATATAGTAGAGAAACAACGGCGGATAAATTAGGCCTTCTTGAAAAATAATGGGCTCAAAGAAGTAGATAGCTAAACTGGGCCTCAATCTACTTTTGTGCATGGGCAGTAATAATAGTAATAAATATAGTCTGAAATAACAATTATTAATAGTATATATAATAAGTGATAAATAGTACTAATAATATTCGGAAAAATTGTAATTATTCATAAATATAATCGGAAATTTCAGAATTATTTTCGGATTGGAGTTCAGAAATTCCAAATATTTTATATACAATTCCAATTTCGATTCGTTAATTTAAGAAAAATTGGAAATCAAAATTTCGAAGTTCAGACTACAAAAAATCATTCTAAAGTAACAAAATATCCAGACAGGAACGGGCGGAAATAAAATATTCCAATGTGATTTCCACCCCCAGTTGCAACACTCCTTATTGCAACATAGCAAGCATGGCTAGGACCGGCAATTAAGCGAGGCCTAACCGAAACCCGTTGGCTCGGTCCGATTATATTTGAGCTATTACATGAAATCTAATTCATTTATGATCCAAGTGTGAGCGTACTACGGCTCAACCCGAATAAGGTCCGCCTAACTAAGTTAATAATTAAATATATAATATATTTATTATTTTAATAATATGGCTCGACATACAAGTTACAAGTTACAACGGTATTATATTATTTTATTTTGCAAAAAAAATAAAAGAAATTAAGTGGTTGCGGTGGTAATAGTGAAATTATAGGAATCAAGTAAAAGATACCTATGAATATTTATTAAACTTCATTTGTTTCAAGGATTACACTATAGTTTTTATGTTATCTTGTGACTGATTTTTATATAATTTTGCTATTCATGAATATTATAAATGTCACTCTTCTGGTGCGAAAGGTTTTTTTTTGGAACACATTTGGCTGTGAGTTGTGAAGTATGTAATTTATATATTGTTCGATATAAATTCGATTTAAACGTGAAGCCCCAAAAAATACATAAGTCGAGCTTGAGCCTATAGTAATAAGATCCAATGGTATGTGAGCTTGAACTTATAATAATAAGGTTTGATAGTATCTGAGTTTGAGCCAACCAAGGCTCACATGATCAGATTATCAGCCCTAATCATGACTGTGTAAACTAAAAGGTTAAGGCAAAAGGATGGCGTAAGAGAAAGAAGCTCATTTGCCTTCTATCTTTTAAAGTTAGTATTTCCTATATTTGAAAGAAAGATTATAAGGATAAAATTAGAAATTAGGATTTAATGAATTCAGGGGTTATACGATATAAGGAAAAATTGTTGTTTTGGTTCTCTATGTTGGTCTATTTAGGAATTTAGTCATCTAACTTGTCATGTTTCAATTTTTCATGCAATACCTTTGCAAATATAGTATTTTTAGTCCTATCCTGCATGATTTTTAATTTTATGACGCGACAAATGAACTTGGAAATAGATAGATTCGACATCTAATTTACCATTGGTAGAACTTAAATTATGTGAGACGACACATCTATAAACCAAATTAGAGGAGCATTTATAATTTTTAAGTGTCCATATAAATAAAGTTATGCGGGTTTGTTAGGTATGTCATTAAACGACGGCTAAAATTCAAAGTTCGAGTGAAATTGGACTAAAAATACTAATTTTGCAAAATTATTGCATGTAAAATTGAAATAAGACAACTTATAGGACTAAATCTCTAAAGAGACCAACATATAGGACCAAAATTACAAATTTCACTATGATATAACTGTTAACCACAAATTTTCGAATCTGTAAAACATAAATACAAAACAGGAAAATATGGAACAAATAATTTATTAATCAAAACGAAAGCGGATTACAATCTCCGTAATTCCCCTGATTCTTCTCTCCTATTCTAATTTTGATTCAAGGGCTTAAAAGCTTGTTTTTGAATCGAACATATGATTTCCTATCACGAACATCTCGAATTCAAATACGTTATGAATTCGAGGCGGAGGCTCGAGAATATTCTAATTTTGATTCAAGGGCTTAAAAGCTTGTTCTTGAATCGAACATATGATTTCCTATCACGATATGAATTCGAGGCGGAGGCATCACGAACATCTCGAATTCAAATATGTTATGAATTCGAGGCGGAGGCTCGAGACGTGAGCTTGAGAGCTCGATATGTGTCTGTCATGTGAGTCTCGTCTTTTCCATGCACCGAATGCCTTATTTTATAGGCACAAGCTAGGGTTTCTTGATTTGCAGCACGGGCCGGACATTTTAAAGCCCAAATATATTATGAACTTTAATTTGAGACCTAATTAATAATCGATTTATTTTGATTATTAATTAGTAATTTATCTCAAAATTTCGATGTCTACAATAACCTCTCATACATGTTTCTTAGAGGCATAAATCCATTTTTTTTATTCACTATTAGGGATAACTCCTCGTTAAACTTAATACCTTATTTACCCCTATTATATTCATAGAAATATAATTAAATTATTGTTGCATAATTAAGTCCCGCTAATTTCCCTATACAATAACTCCCCTTAAATCTCTCACCAACTCCCCCAAATCTCCGAATGCAAATCACGCCATTTCAGATTTTTTTTTTAATTCTTTTTTTACAATTTTTTCTAATTTTAATTTAAAAATTATATTTTTTCATTTTTCATTTTTTTAAAAGGTCTTTTTTACCGCAACTTTAACAAAAAATTGAA